ACACACACACACACACAGAAACACAGGCACACATAACACACACACACACACACACACACACACACACACACACACACACACACACACACACACACACACCCTGTTCCCGCTTCCCTCGCTTCGCGTCTGTGCCTGCTCGTTTTCCTCTCTTCGTTCGGGTCTTAATGATGGTTTCCTGTGGTTGGCACTTCGTTTCCATGCAGGGCAACGAGGCAGCGTTACCGGAATGCTGGACTCCATGGACGCCAATTCTCCGCTGCGCAATCGTCACGGCTGTGGTCCGGGAAGGATACGTAGTAGCCACACAAGACTTAGTGTGTATAGGCGCAGACGGCATAAAAGAGCCGATCAACAACTGCTGCCTGGCTCAGGCAGCTTGGAGAATTTGAAAGGGGTTACCGTCGGCGACGTCCATCATCATGGTGTTGGCGGTCATGCTTCTTCAGCGCACACGCTTGGAGAACCTCCTCTCGAGAAGAGTAGGTTGTTGACCATGGATGGTGCCACGTCGTCCTCCGCGAGCGCCCACTCAGCGCCGACTCCTCCATTTGCCCCTCCATCAAGTGCTTACTCGTGGGGCTTCAGTCTGTGTTCCTCGAGCAGTCATCCATGCCCTTCGCAAGGACCAAACCCCATTACCGACCGTAGTACGGGTTCGTTTGGGCCTGCAGCCGCTGTCCACCTCCCCGGGAACTTAGGAGGACAACGCCCTGTCGGCGCTGTCGCCTATGAGTGCAACATAGGGACCAAACAGAATGAAGATGGTCATCGGCATGGACCAGGTGGTGACGGCCACAGACAAGTCGAAGAAGACAGCGATGGCGAAGTTTGTCTTATAGACATGCAGTCCGTCGAGCACTATAGAGTTTCCTCCGAGTCGGACCAGGCTCGAGCTGACCATAGGGTACAGTGGAATCTCTGTGGCGATTCGCGAATCGGCTGGAGAGGCGTTGAATTGCATCAAAATGAGAAAGACTACGGGGAGAAGAAGACGGAGGAAGGGGAGGGGGAGGGGGAAGGGGAGCGGGAGAAAGGAAACATGGCAAGTGTTAGAGCACAGCTGGAAGCAATCAGGACCGAGCCGGGATCTCTAGCAACTGCAGTTCATCATGATCCGTCTGGATCTGGGCTAGGACCACAGACGTTCCCGGGAACGAACCGGGATCTGTACTCTTTCAGAGCTACAGATCCGTTCCTCCCGCCAAGGTTGTACCCGACTCAGCCGACTGCCGCAGACGACCTCGCCCCTACTTGTAAGGCCTCTACTGCTCAGTATCTGATCCCTCCCACTACTGAAGTGTGTTCGTACACCATGCTCCTTCTTGGATTGGACGTGGCTAATGAGCTGGGTGGTATGCACTCGGAGTTCGACATGAAGGTCGACGATCAACCCGAAGCTAGCTCCGAGGCTACGTTGCATGCGCAAGGTGTGCTGGCTCCAATTCCCATGCACGACCTGGATGTCGTACTGAATCAGCTATCTTCTTCCCTTATCAAGCGCGACGAGTGCCGTTCGCCATTCGAATCCAAGGATTGCTCCTCGGTCATCGACGAGAGCGATGACGAGGCAGCCTGTGGCAGGATCGAGCCCCGACGCTCCTCCCTCCTAACGGAGACTGCGGATCATCATGGCGCCCATGAAGGCTGGCAGGTGAGCTGGCGATGCCTTTCTGGCTCAACAGACGCAGAGGAGGACAATCTTTGTGCGGCTGGAGGGGGAAACGGAAGAGGAAGTGGCGGAGCGGGAGGAGAAGGAGGAGGAAGAGGAGGAGGAGGAAGAGGAGGAGGAGGAGGAGTTGGTTCTCTCAACAGACGTCGCCCGCCGGTCATCTGCGTTGACAGCGCCCGACGACGAGCGGCAGCAGCCGGGGTCGAGCTCAAGGGAGATGCCGGCGGGTTGCCGTCTACCCCGACCAGTTTGTTATCAGACCGGTGCTTGATGAGTCCCTCAGTTTCTCCATCGTCCGACACGTGGCACACAGCAAACAACTGGCCCACTCCGCGTTTCACAGACAGATCAACCTTGTCACGTCAGACGAGGATTCTTCCCAGCCCTGGGAGCACGGCCTCTAGCGACCTCCGATGGAATGGACTTTGTCACGGGTCCGAACATGGTCCGGGAACTGGTCCGGGAACTGGTTCTGAACCTGGTTTGCAATCTGGTTTGGCAACCGCTTTGGGACCTGGTCTGGGATCCGACTTGGTATCAGGTTTCAGGTCCGAATACGGTTCCGTATCTGCACCGGGAACTGGTTCAAGACCTGGTTTGCCATCTGGTTCGGCAACCACCTTGGGAGCTGGTTTTGGACCTGGTTGTGGACGTGGTTGTGGACCTGGTTTGGGATCTGGTCAAGGATCCTGCTCTGTATCTGGTTTGGCATGTCTTGCGGTACGCCCGGCCGGAGCTGGGATGGAATCCGCGACCGGATCTGGGGTGGGATCTCACGTGGGGTCGGGATCTGTTGTGGATCAACTAAGCAGCAACAACACGAACCTGGAGCGCTCCACGTGGCGCCTTGCTGGCCCCACGGGGAACATTAGCCTGAGTGGACGTGGCGGCTTAGCGCCCGTCGACGTCGCGCAGATCCATGGTCAGGAGGGATTGCCAGTTGTTGTAAGTGGAGGAATCGCGAACACTCAGTCCAGATCTCCAGCCGAAACTCAACGCTGCACAATCGACGGCTACGCGCTTCCAGCTGACCTGAAGGCAAGCAGCATGGGAACGGATGGAGCAGAGGGAAGAAAGGAAGAGGAGGCAAGGGTGCCAGGTGAGCTGGGACCGAGATCTGTCCGATATGGGCTTGAAGGAGGTATGACCAGAGGAGTGGGGGCGGGAGCGGCGCAACCATTTGCCGACATGAGGTCGTCGTATTCGTTGCCAGCAGCTGGGAGAGGGGAGGGAGAATCAAAGGCAGCAGGTCGTCCGACCGGAGAGGGCAGCTCAGAGGTTAGAACGAGGGATAACCTCGTCGAGCTGCGGAGCAACCCCTTGAACGTGATGCAACGAGAAGGAGAACCTGGAGGAGGAGGAGGAGGAGGAGGAGGAGGAGGAGAGGCAGGAGGAGAGGCTTGGGAGGGGCGGGGAACGGAGCAAGGAGAAGGAGAGAGGTATGCTGCCTCAGCCGTGGATATACTGGAAGGCGAGAGAGAGGGGCGCGGAGAGGTCAACGTACACGAGAGAGAGAGACAGGGAGGAGAGACGGGAGCCGCTGTCAACGATCGGGGGGTCATCAGAGCAGCAGGAGGGGGAGTAAGAGGAGGAGGAGACGGCAGAGGAGGGAAAAAACCACCACCGGAGGATGACGCCGCACGGAATGCGCGACAAACAGAAGTGTGCGACTCTAGCAATCCGGCGATGTGTGTCGCGCAAGTGCCGCCGGTCAGAACGAGGTCGAACTGCGAGCATGAAGGTGTGAGAGCGGGAGAGGTAGGTGGCGTCTTGCCGGCCCGATCAGAAACGCAGGGAGGAAACGAGAGACGCGAGGAGGTGGAGAAGGGAGGGGCGACAGCACAGTACCAAGAACAGAAGAAGAAGAATGCTGAGTTCTCCTCACTTCGCGCGCCGTATACAGTCAAGGCAATACAGGCCGACGTGGGGGAGGGCGAGGCAAGAGGAGGCCTGCCATCATCCTCCAATCCACCCGTGAATGATAATAGCCCCCACTGCGGGGAGTCTGAGAGACAGCCTGAGCTTGATCAGCTGCAAAAGCAACCACCACATACCGAGGACAGCACTGCCGACACGTCGGATCGAAATCGGGATCGGGATCGAGATCGAATCGCTGCAGAAGCACGCGAGAAGAAGGGTACTTCCCCACAGAGCTCGAAAAGGAAGTGGTCTTCCTCCCCGGGACCGTATGAGCTAGGAGAGCAGCTAGCTGTGGCGAATATTGACCCGCCTACCGGTCGCCCTCATGCTCGTCCTTCGACTGGGAGCTTTGCTACACGCAGCGGGTTGGTCGGTGATGCGCATCAAGGCGGAGCCGTTCTTAGCAGCACTAACGGAGAGATGGAAGTGTGCAGCAATTTCAACCCTGTAGCAAGAGCAGGAAGACAATCAGCCATAGCCGGCCTCGAGAAAGAGTGTGGGGACTGCGGCGGAAGAGCAGTGGCGGCCGAGAAGCTCGGCTATGGCAGCCAAGGAGGGAGCGGGAACACTGAGGACGACGTGAGTGACACTCGGCTCTTGCTTTTCCGCTCTGGGTCAGATGATATGGGTATGGAGCCCCTCTCCATTGGTGAAGAAGATTCATACATTCATAGCTTGCACTGGGTTGGGGTAGCCCCCCCCCTCTCTCTTGACGAAACTTCCTTCGGGCAGGAAGAGGAAGGCAACGTCAGAGATACACCCTTTGAAGATGATGGCGATGAAGGATTCGCCACGGCGACCTCGACGTTGATCTCCGTGCCAGAATTGACGTCCCCGTACAGCAGGAGCCCCACTTTCATGCCCAGCGATGGTGGCTCCGGCTCGATTCAACCGCAAAAGGGGAGAATGAATGACCCTCAGGGATTCTCCTCCTTCCCTGCAAATCCGAGAGACACCACCCTCACACCAGATCATGGAGGATTCGATCTACCTGAGGATCAACATTACGGCGGTGGTCATGCTCATCGGCTTTCTCCTGTGGTTGTTGCGCCCCCTACGCCTCCACCAACTCCTCTGGCTCCTACCCCTCCCCCTCCCCCTCCTCTTCCTCTTGCTCCTCCTATTGCTCCTAATTTTGATCAATACCAGAGTGAACGGTTGGTTCAGCCGCTGAGCGGAATGTTCTCTGCACTCGAGGGGTCGTTTCCGTTGTCGTCAACGAGTGTAACCAATGTAGGCGCACCTAATTTGCATGCACAGCTCGCCCCTCGCTTTGGGTCGATGAGAGGAGGAGGCGAAAGAGAAGGAGTGGGAGGGGTAGAGAGGGAAGACGCAGGTGAACGAGGAGGAGGAGGACGAACACGAGAACGAGGGCTCGCTACACGAGATCGTCGAGATGGAGGGGGGGAAGCGCATGGTACAGGCGGCGGGAAGGAGGTGAGTTATCTGAGGGCAAAGTTTGACGACGAAGAGCAGCTGCATGTTGACCCCCAGTGTTCCTGGCTCGGCACGAGCGACGGAGGAGGGTTGCAGATCCATGCCGATCAGGTCAACAGGGAGGGGAAGGGTGAGCGGCTGCTTAGTCAGTCATCGGACGAAGCGCAGAGTGACACGTGGGCGATCCCCAGCGATTCCGCCCCGCGCAGAAGTGCAACCTTATCTGCTGAAGAAGTGCATTACGACTCCGCCGTGGAATGGTCAGTCATTGGTCAGGATCAGGTTCCGGACGAGCTTCCAGAACTGGGAAACGACTGCCGAAAAGGGGCAACGGGATCCCAAGCTGCTTCGGGAGCTCAGTACGGAGCTGCTGCTAACGTCAACAATGTCATGGAAACAGTTCCGCCCGTGTCCAATCCAGAGCTGGAAGCGCCGGCCGTGCAGGAGATGAAGCCCAAAGTGAAACGAGGCCAGGCCACCGATCCCCAGAGCGTTGCTGCAAGGGTACGTGAAACAACACTCTACCTAGACGTTAACCCTGTCCCTTCTCCCGCACTGCCCTATCCTCTCCGTGTTGTCTTCCCCTTCAGTGCCACCTAACCTCTCCTTGTCTAGGTTCGATCACCATGAAGGTGAAGTAAGGTGCTCTAACAGGCTTGTAAGCTCTTCCACCCTCGGTAAGAGCGTGTGTGTTATCATGTTTAACAGACTCGTGAGGTCTTCCGCCTCGATAAGAGCGATGTGTGTGTGTGTGTGTGTGTGTGTGTGTGTGTGTGTGTGTTGGCTATACACACCTCCACAGACAAAGCATGATGTGCGAGACTGCTTCGTTGGACTTTCACCGACTCATCAGGAGGTCGAACCCGACGGTCTGCCAAGGATGCATTTGACTGATGAATAAGGACTCACCACGTCGCCGAGATTTACCATACCCCTGAGAAAAGTGGTCGGCTGTAGTCACACCGAACATGCAATCCCTGATTAGAACGACAGTCAGCCCGAGAAACTAGTGTGTCACAGCCATAAAACTCGCTCTATACACCAACTCAGCCAGAGATATCCACTGGCATGTGTTTACGTTCCCTAAACAGGATTTCACTACCCTCTTCCCCCGAACACAACGCACCCTTATTTTGGCTGTATCTGGGGGGAAATATAGCTTGTATACATTCCTTTTTAGGGTGCGTTACGTTCGGGGGAAGACGGTAGTAACGCTAGACTCTGACAGACCGTCTCGCCCGACTTTCACCAGCTCGTGAGGAAGTTGAACTCCTACAGTCCGCGTGCGTGCGTCCGAGTGTGTATGTGTGTGTGTCACAAACAGAGAGAGAGAGAGAGAGAAAGAGAGAGAGAGAGAGAGCTTTCGTTTCTTGTTTAGCATCAACCGACCAGCGTCACTCCGTCACGCAGCACGGAAAGCACCGTAATTGAGCCCTCAGAACGGAGGCCCAGCTGGGACACAAGGCTATCCTCCCACTGGAGCCCCACCGGAACTGAAATGTCGATGCCACTGGGCCCGCCACGAACGCCTGCCGAGACCAGGACTCCGCCCCCATGACATAACGTGCGTGAGGGCCCCTCTTCACAAAGTGTCAGTTGCACTGGCTTTTTTTTTTTTTTTTTTTTTTTTTTTGTCATCTTGAGTGAAAGATTTCCGACCTATTTGTGAGGAGAAGCACGGCTGCCTTATCCATGCTTTTGGTCAGTCACACATTTCTCCCACCTGTGTTCCTCACTTGCTAAGTTGCTATAGCCTATAGCCTATAGCCTATTGGCCTATGTGCCTTGAGGTCCAGGTTGACATTGAATTTCATGAAAAGCTCGCGTATATCTTACATCAAATGGGATTCCCGGGTCCGTACTCCTTGGTATGACACTACTATGACTCCATGTCTCGTCCATGATCTCTGTTAGTCAACGGTCATGCTGACCAATGACCATTGACCAAGAGTCAGCAAAGCAGTGAGTGCATACTCACACTAGGACTTTCCTGGATGCATATGACCGCTTTTCCAACCCGGTGTGGATGCACCAGGTTGGAATTATGTCCACAGAGAAGTGGAAGAAGTCCTGGTGTGATTACGCCTCCAGAGTCTCGGGGATGGCTATGACGAAAGGGAGAGACAGTCCAGCCATCCGTAGGGAGAAAATGATGGATAAGTTGTGAAGAGGAGGATTACTCACTGGCTGGCCTGATCTAAAAGACCATTGCTGAGAATCAGTGCAGAAGCGAAGCTGTATGAGATGGAGCGGCACTGGATATGGTAGGTTATGTCCTGGAAGGAAATGTGCTGGCTGCCAAGGGGTAGTAGGGTCAACATGGCATAAGAACGCACACAATTCTTTTTTCATTGATTTTACACGGACAAATAGAGAATTGCATCTGCCATTAGATTGAAATGATAAAATAAACGAATCTTGTTGCTCTTTTTTGTCTTTCCTTTTGAAGATCCTTAAGAAGTTCTGCGATGCTCCCCAGACTCCCCACCAATACACGCAGCCTTCCCGGCAAGCCCACTTAATGAGGATGCACTTATCACCTCGCTATAGTGGTAACCTGCAACGAAGTTTGCCACAAAAAAAGGAAAAAAAAAAAGTATCCAAGATAGCCTCAGGGTTGCGGGTGGATTGTCAGAAGGAGAGGAAGACGCATCCAGTGGCTGAACAGCTAGACCAAATGTCCTTCGTACGCCTATGGGGGGTCCACCAGTACTTGGCCCTATTGATGTTTGTATGACAACTTAGTCGGTACTCATAGTAACACCTTATGACATCAACCACAGAGGAAGTAAGAAGAAGAAGAAGAAGAAGAAGAAGAAGAAGAAGAGGAGGCAAACCCACACAAGATAAAAAAAAAAACGTTCTCCCGAGTGCGACTGACCCGCATGAAGTTACAATGAAAAACATCGAGCCCAGTCAAAACCGTGGCATAATCCTACCGGTTTCGGCTGGCCGGCGTGTGGCCGCCACTCCAGCCATCATCAGGGATCTTGCGGCTGTCGCCGCCCGTCGGTGAAAAAGCCGACGCCTGCGATCCTTTCATCTTGCTAAGACTGTCAAACACTACAAGTACCTGCGTTGCCCTAGCAGATCAAGACAAAGGACTAGATACACAAACCAGTACAGTTCACCAAGAGCCGTAGCCTTGGTTAAAAGCTACGAGTTATTTAGCAATTCATCATCCATCCACCTAGGTCCAGATACAGAAGCCCAAAAGACACCGGTCGGAACTTTCGGTAGTTGTTAGAAGGGAATCAACAAGGAACAAGGTCTGGCCCAGTGTTTACACTACAAGTACAAAAAGAATAATATTGAAGCCCACATACCCAAGATCGAACCGCCACAACATCGAATCAGCATTCAGAAGAAAGCAACAACATCGAAAAGATACTGGAAAAAAAAACGGACCCAAGTTCAATCATCATGTTGAAGGCTTGAAGCCCTACATTCGGGCTGAAGTTCCCCTAGCACATTCAATCTACAACCTGGCCCATCCGGTCACGAAAGGCAGCCATTGGTCCCATAATCCGGCAAACTTCTTCAAAAAGTTAACTAATGCAGGATCGAAGTAACAGTCAGGATATCCACACTGCCAGAGCTCGACCCTCAAAGTAAATGGACCAGGAACTGGCAGGAAGCTCCATGTCAGGGACTGTGACAAACAATCTGGCGCAGTGCTGAAAGGACAACATAACAACAATCTTTCGCTCCTTACTTGAATAAAACACAAAATTTTGTATACTATGGAAGGTCAACTTCTCATGCATCCAGCCCCACTGATTCTTGTGCTGCATGGGAATCCATACCAAGCCAGTCTTGCATTCGAACACCTTCAGGACACAACCGAAGAAGTCTCATGTTTGCCCATCAATGGCATCATTGGTCTTTTCAAGGGTCAAATTGCTATCATAACTCGTATAAAATTTCCGGATCAATCCCGCCGCTCGTTCATACGACCCAATCACATTCCCATCCCGAACAAAAAAGAACTGAAACATCACCCACCAACCTAAAACCGTGAAACAGAGTCTCAAAGCGATAAGTAGAAAGGGAGGACAAGAAGACGAACTCATTTCAGCCATATAACATAGAAACCAAAGCCAGACTAGAAGATTTGCCCATAGGAATGCGAACTGCCTGTCGAAAAAGAGTTCCACCGACCACGACAAATGTATTGCTGAGTTCAAATTCCACACAGCGACAGACCTGTTGAAAGCTCAAATGCAACCAACCCTCTTCTTGCTCATCTTTCACCAATCTCACATTTTTACCTCTCCTCAGCAATGCAATCTTCTTACATCCATTATTAACCCAGTAATCGATGATTCACTCCAAGGCTTGCAAAATAAAGAAATGAGGCAGGCTAGAGAACATTTCTTTAACATCAAAGTAAAGCCCAATTAGATATTGTCCCTTGTTCAATGTCTTTGTTGACATCACGAATGTCCCATATCAAGTCAGTCGTCGTATGCAAATTGAAGTTCGAATTTACAGGCAATTTTTAAAGCATGTGATTGATCGCACGTGAAATCAATTGACCGCCAACATAAGAGTATTATGAGTAGAACGGACGGATAGGCCTCCACCTCTTCTCATCTTCGTGTTTAGGAATGTAAAAGGCATGCCCAAAAAACCCGTTGACTTTCCATCGACTCAACTTCTGAAGTTCCAATCCCGAATATTTTTCTCGACAGTTTTTCAAGATTGTTACCTCATCATCATAGCAACGAGAGAAGGATATATTATCAAAGAATAACGAGTGCTCAGACCATTCCAAAATACAGTAGGACAACAAACAAATATATATCTCATATTGCGATCAAAGGGGGAATAGCGGAACACACAAGTCAATGAAGACGACCATGTTGTGTTGTAACCAATTCCATATGAGAGGTAGCAAAAGATCAAGAATCATCGGACACAATACCAAAGCAGCTATGCAACTCATCCATACAAAAGAAATCATTGGAGATGTTTGGAGCAAATGTAGATTCGGAGGACTTGAAAGAGTAAAAGAAGTTTACAACGTAAGAAGAATGGTCATTTCATCAAAATGGACATTTTTTATTTTTTGAACGAAATTGAAACCGAGTTTTTTTGCCGAAAACTTGTCAAAATTTGTTGTTCCTGATGGTTCAGCGTTTTACAAACGTTGGACCCCCTGGTTGTACATGGACCTAGCTTGAGACCAGGCACCTCCAGGTAGGACTGGCTAGAGGTACCTGGTTTCAAGCTTGGTTCATGTACAGCCAGGGGTTCCAGTGTTTTACAAACGTCGGACCCTCAGGAACAACAAATTTTGACGAGGTTTGGGTCAAAAACTCAGTTTCGATTTCGTTCAAAAAATAAAAGATGTTCATTTTCACGAAATGGCAGTTGAAGGAAGTAGAGCGATGTGAAGGGTGAAACACGTTCTTAGAGTTCAACATAACCCTGGAGAAAATTAGTGTTACTGAAGCGGAAAGCAACGTGTCTCTTATCACGAGGAAAAGATGGATCAGAAT